TTTATACATAGTCATACTAACTATTGTAATATTGGCTTGGCAAACAATCACTCATCATAATTTTATGAAAAATAATATTTTGAATTGAAAAAGATTCCGAACATTTTATAGATTTAAATTCATCTATTTATAATTTTTTATAAAACAATATTAAAACAGACAAACAAAAAGAAACAAGAAGAATATATATATATATATATATATATATATATATATATATATATATATATATATATATATATATATATATATATATATATATATATATATATATATATATATATATGTATATATATATATATGTATACATATAATATATATACATATATATATATATATATATATTTATATATATATATATATATATATATATATATATATATATATATATATATATATATATATATATATATATATATATATATATATGTATATATATATATATATGTCTATATATATATGCATTTATATATATATCGTTCTTGTATATATATATATATATATATATATATATATATTCTTCTTGTTTCTTTTTGTTTGTCTGTTTTAATATTGTATTATATTTAACCTCTTAACCCTTTTTTAACAAAGATATGCATGTCGATATCTGTTAGCAGCTCAAGGCTTATACCTATCTTTTTTAGCAAAGCGTCCCAAGACATATTCGAAGAGCTAAAGTAGTAAACTGGATCGAGTCCATAATTTTCCATAGATATGTCTTGAAACGTTTCCAACACATCAGCAAGGAGTACTACATCATTTCTAAGGTAGATGTCATAATAATCACCAAAGGTAATGCATCCAATAATCTCCCAAACTTTGTGTGCGTGCTCATATTCTTTTTCAGCTATTTCAATTCTTGAAAGTTTGTTGTATAAAGCTTCTTTTGGTGAAAGCTTAGTTTTATCAAACTTTGCAAAGCTATCAACATACTCATAAGGGTAGACTTCCTTACAACCCAGAAGCTCTAGTTCAGTATTTGGCAAACCCTTGCTTGTTCTTTTTAAGTCTTCCATTTTCAGATTTTTAGATAAACTGCCAAGTTAAGATGTCATAAATTGCTATCAATAAATGTGAGCTGGCCGACAGAGAAAATCACATATATACAGTATTGGACAAAGCATTTGCAACCAACATCGAGCAATGATAAAAAGTGTTCCTTATTTTACATGTCTTAAAAACAAAACGAACTATAGTACCACAGCAAACAGTTCAGGAGTCTGGAGTCATAGCATGCCATGACATGAGCTGACAGGTGACATCACTGAACAATCAGCTGACAGGTGACATCACAGAGGCAGAATTTCAATGAAAAGTGCCATTTTGAAGCGGACAAAACAAGTGCAACTTTTTTGGTTTATTTCATTTTCTTAAGCCTGGTCCGTGTCAATGTCACGGAAGGTTTTTAATAATTAAAGGAAGTATCCAGAAGTTTCCATAAGCATGTAGAAGTAATGCAGAATGTAACACGGTAGGCCTTGAGAAGCGTGATTATTTATTTTTATTATTTTTTTGACTTCAAGTGCATAAATGGCTCCCGACAGTCTTGGAATGGAACTAAGAAAGAAAATTATTGGCGATTACGTAAATGGAATGTCACAAAAAAGTATTTGTGATAAATATCGCGTGAAAAAATGGACCGTATCAAGATTATGTTCCAAATATCGTTCTACAGGGAGGTTGGCAGCAGATAACAAAGGTGAAAAACCGCGTTTTAAGACAACCACCTATTGGTAATGGATTGGCCGCCTCAATCTCCGGATATCAACCCTATCGAGAACCTGTGGGAGATCGTCAACCGCAGAATTAAGTTTGAAAGTGTTCGTAATCAGGATCAACTGTTTGAACAAATCCAAAAAGCCTGGGCAGCGATTCCACAAAGTTTCATTGAATACTTGATTGAATCTATGCTTCGAAGATGCAAGGCTGTGATTGACAACAAAGGACTTGCCACAAAATATTGATAGCGAAATACAGCTTGGTCAACATTTTGTGGAGTTGCACCTGTTTTGTCCAGAAGGAAATCAACTTTTTTTAATACTTTTGATTAATTTATTAATTTTCGTGTACAAATAATGAACTTTGTGATGAATAAAACTTGAAGAAACTTGTCTCTAAACAGTTACATAGTTATTTCTCTAAATTGAAAAAATGCAGCACTTTTATATAAAGAAACTAAATCAGCATTATTTGGTTGCACTTGTTTTGTCCGATACTGTATCTTTTCCATCGTGTTAGGTATGCAGCTAATTTTACCTTTCTCAGACTTACCAAGAGCTTGCACTATGAGATGGCTATCATATTCTCTAAGATTGTGGAAGACAACCGGGGCTTTTGTTTTTTGTGGGCATATGCGCAGCTGTAAATTGCAAATACTATGGGCTGCGCCCCGGTAAGTGCCCGTGATATGACAGTGATCACGCACTTTATCTTCACCAAGAGGTAAACTACAGATATAGCAATCTGATTTACAAGCGAACGATAAATGGTCATCTTTTGTCATAACCATTTTTGTAAGGACATTATTTATTTTTTCTACCTCAACTCAGTGGAGCATTGCCATGAAGTGGCAATGCTCCACTGCATTTTCACCTCTATAGATTGCAGGTGCCTCAGGTTGCCCATAACATCGGACTTTTACATAGCAGTAGCTGCATGGTACTTGCATTGCAATTTGGCGAGTGAATCTCACTTTAGGATTATAGGCAGCACCTTCTATGGGTATATTCAAACACTTGAAATCAGCGTAGACGATGTAGGGTATACGCATCTGCTTATGATAGCTTTTAAACTTTAGTAGATTTTTTGCAGGTTCAGACAGTACCGTTTTTGGAGGTTTTTCACCTATCTCTGGCAATCTTTTCGGTGAGTTTCCAGCAGGTCAGCTCTAGAGAATACATGCAAAAAATTGGCGGCATGGGTGCTTTAATTCGCGATATTTGCTGTTATAATAGCACATCCCTGCAAGATTTTTTATCCAGACATTGTGTGTTTTCTCTGGATTATTTTCATCTACTATGAGTAGGAGATCGACTGCAAAGCCTTCTCGCTTGTTGATGTAGATGGGGTATAACACTTTTTCCCATCCAAAGACGTTAATTGAGAGCTCTGGATTTTGGTGCTCGAATTTTGAAATGTCAGTCACTTTAACTGGAAAGGTTATACTATCAAAGTTTAGATCTCCGAGATGATCGGTGAGCTTAGTTGTGCGCTCAGCATGCTGGTTTGCAGGGTAGAGCGCGCTCAGGATTGCCCACTCAAACCATCTGTTGTCATTATTTTTCACATTTATAACACTTCGCTTTGGGATGTAGGTGGGCGTTTTAATGTAGCTTTTACCGCGGAATGGCTGGTATTGAGCAAATTGAATAAATAGCGACTCGCAACGACTTAGTCACCAACCCGAACCTTCATTAACAAATTTTTTTATCAATTCATTATTTTTTGGTGGAGCCTTTTTAAGCTCCACCAAAAAATAATGCTCCAGCATTTTTAAGCTTCAATATAAGGTATTACATCATAATGAAGGTATACTGTGTGCTTCACAGTATTTTTTTCTGAAGCGTCTTCGCCATAAACATTTTCGACGCCGAAATCTTTTTTCATTTCAGCAAAGAGGATAAGTGATACTTTTTTGCCATGTTTCTTAATTTCAGTTTCGACGAGTTCCACAATGCGGGATTCCATATCAGAAAGGAACATCATTTCATTGGACTCTAATTGATGGCCTATAGGCAGTTGTGCTTTATAATTTTTAAGCTGATTGGCTTGCTTGTAGAGCTTTAATTGAAGGTAGCTCTTCAGGCTTATCATCAAGCATAAGGTCTTTAAAAATTTGATCTAAATCTTCATCGTTTAACTGACAGTTTACGGAGTAGGTTGCGGTGCTGGCTTTGGAGTAGGTTGCGGAGCAAGTCCTGGTGCTGGCTTCGGAACAAGTTGCGGTGAAGACCGCAGTTTGTGGAGTTACGGCGCAGGCTGTGGGAAGTGCATTGCAAGTCGCGGTGAAGACCGCAATTTTGGGGTGGCGGTGTAGGGTGCAGCTTGCGGGGCGGAGTCGGTTTATTCCTGGCCCGTAAGTAAGCTTATCGAGAAGACCGGCCCGTAAAAAATTATCAAAAGTTTAAGATATGTATACGTAAAGGAGCTTATAATGATTAATATTATAATTTCTGCAAATGTAACTAATAATTTGGCCGTCCACTGTACTTTAAAATTTTGTAATGTTAGTTTTTGTAAACTTAAATTAATATTTGTTTACAATTTTTTAAAAAAGAATTCTCAGTACTTTATATTTACATTTTGTATTTTATTTTCTTAATATTAATACTTTACATTTTATATTTTATTTTCCAATCAATAAATGACATTAACTTAGTTACAGATATAGATTCCCTGATTTCTTGTTAATATTTGTTAGAATAAGTTTAAACAACAAACGCCTAAACAGTTTTTTTTTCAAAGTATGCAAAGTATTTCAAAGTATGCAAAGTATTTCAAAGTATGCAAAGTATTTCAAAGTCTTTCAAAGTATGCAAGATAATTAGAGGTTTAAAGAATTACGTTGGATCGAAGTATATTTTTAAAAAGGTTGACAAATTTTCTTTTAAAATATAGAGTACAGAGAATTCTTAATTGGTAAATTAAGGTTCTTGGAATAAGTTTAACTTACTTTCTTATAAAATTAAAATTCTATGAATAAATTAAAATCCTATGAATAATTTATGTACTAAAACTTATTTTGATTATTCGCTTTTTTAAAATAAATAAAAAGGAAAAATCTTATTCCAAGTCATAATCACAACCACGATATAATTATACCAAAAAAAACTAAATCAATAAAAACAATGTTCAAGCAATAATAAACAATCTTAAACAACACACAATAAACAACAATTTACTAATATAATATGAGTGGAATTTTAAAAGATGTTTGCTCAATAGTTCATAATATATGTATATGCTGATGGTTTGTTTTGAATTATTTTAATATTGACTGTTTGATGACAATATTTTCATCAAACAGTCAATTTTAGAAACGGAGAAAAATAGTTAAAAACTAATTTGCAAATATTGTACTTAAAGCTAAACAAAATATGAGTTTAAAAATTAATAGAGATTTTTAAAAGATGTTTGCTAAAAAGTCCGTTAATCGTTTAACATTTGGAGTAATGGTTATTGGCATGGTATTTGCCGTTTTAGCAACCGAAGGAAAGTATTGGGAAAGTTATTTATTTGAAAAGAGTATAAGCATTTACACCGGGTTATGGTTATTTTGCGGGTTTCAGTTTTCTAAAGAAAACTGCATAAAAAGAAGTATTAATGGTAAATTCTTTTAGACTGTTTTTAAAATTATCATTTATATTTGACATAAACTTTTGATTATATTTTTTAAATCCTATTTTGTTGAAAATCTTTTGTTGTAAATGCATAAAATAATTTTTATGTTGCAGATCCGTTAAGAGTAGTACAATCGTTTATGGTCATGGGTTGCCTTGGATATTTAGTTTCACTATTGTATGTTGTTCGTCATTATATTAAAAAAAAGTCAAACTTTAAAACTCTATCAGTCATTCTAAATGTCACAGGTAAAGTTTTTTTGCTGACTGAAAATGTTTCTATTTTAGTTATACAAAGTTCTTAATTTATGATTTTGTCAGTTTTGTACAAACCAATAACATTAGTAATGATAAATTTTCAAGTAGAATTAAAACTCCATAAATTTAAAATTAATAATGTAATTAAAACATTATTAATTACAAATTTTTAGGGGAATTAAAATTCCATAAAATTGTAATTAACAATGATATTATTGTTTTGAATTGTTTAAACAATGTTAATTATTTTAAACAATTAAAAGTATTTACAGGGAACCAATTTTTCTTTTTTTTTTTTATTAAATACTATAGCGTTATCTTTGGTAATCGGATTAAGTGTATATTCGAATGAAATAAGTACACCACATCTCAAGTATAACTGGTCTTACGTGGTAGGCTGGACATCGGTTGTTTTTGCACTGACAGCAAGTATTCTTTGCTTAGTTGTTCATGGCAGATACCTTGGTGAATAGTGATGAGGTATCAAAACTAAGAGTTTTCTTAAAAATGAAGTGGGCTAATTATCCAAACTGCAAATTAACTTTTTTAGTTAAATTATTTATTGAATAACATTTATTAAAAATTGCATTAAATAAATCATCAATAATCCGTAAAAAGTTTTCTGGAAATTTTGTAATAAAACAAAAGTAAAATTGCATTACATAAAACCAATTTTTTTTAAATGTTTACCATATACGTAATGTAACATTGATGAAGTGTTTACTTTTGGGCGAGGCTTACAATTTGAATTCTTGAAAACGATGTTTTATGCAAATTAAGTGTTCAAGTAAGGTAAGTAATTTTCAAAATCTCTTCAATACAATAACAAAGAAAATAAAGATAAGCACTGTTAAAAATAATCTTACCTAAATAAAATTGCTTGCTAAAAATTTAAAAAGTAAATAATATTTATTTTATATATTTTTAATTATAAATAATAATAGCTATTAAAATATTATTTTTTATAGGCAATGTTTATTTGTTTTAGTTATAATTAATAAAGTTAATAAAGTTCAAAACTGAAATTTTACTAAAGGATTCGAAAACAATAACTTTACTCTGTGATTATTAATTGACCTATCAAAAGCATTTGATACGGATGATCACCTTATTCTTTTAGAAAAAGTTAAACATTACGGATTAATAAATAAAATCTATGAATGGTTAAAAAGCTTCCTCACTGAAAGAAAGCAATATGTTATTAATAAGGAATCAGGTGAACTAAAAATTATGTGTGGAGTTCCACAAAGGTCAATTCTTGGTCCCTTGCTGTTCTTGATCTTTGTAAACGATTTGCATAATGCTTCAGCAAAACTTAATGCGATAATGTTTGCTGACGACACAAATCTTTTCTTATCAAACAGTGACTTTAGGCAACTTTACTCTGACATGAATTATGAATTTAGGAATGTCAATGAATGGTTTAAGGCTAATAAATTGTCACTTATTGTAGATAAAACAAAGTATACTCTATTCCAAAAAAAAATCACAACAGGAAAACCTTCCTTTAAAATTACCAGATTTAATTTTAGATGATAACCTTATTGGAAAAAATGAGTCAATACAATTCTTAGGAATTCTTATTGATAAAAATTTATCGTGCCTTCCTCACATAAATTATATCCGATCAAAAATTAGTAAAACAATTGGTTTGATGTACCGTATTCGCCCATATGTAACATCAGAAAGTCTGATCGTATATCTTGGCCTAATACATTGTTTTATTTACTATTCTAATATTACATGGGCTAGTACTTAACCAACAAAACTTAAAAAAATATTTTCTTTACAAAAACATGCATGCAGACTAATATATAAGAAAAAAAAATATGAACATGCAAAACCACTAATGAAAGACATGCAAATGATGAGTATATATGTAATTAATATTTAGCAACACTTAATTTTTATGTATAAATATAATAACAGCCTGATTCCGCCCACATAGGGGCTCTATGAAAAGATTGTGGTGACTAAAGTCATCCGTATCTTCTTTGAGCCCCTGCCTGTTTTTACAAATCAACTTTTTTTTGAATGTAAATGTTTCTTTGTAATTATATTTTCTTATTATATAAACAGCAAATATATATATAAACTAAAAAAAAACAAACAAATTTCTTCATTAAGCCATGAGCGGTGACTCAGGAAAGTAATTTAAAAATACCTCTCTGGAAACAGGCGAATTTTTCGTTTTATAAAAAACCTTATTTTTTAATGGTAAGAAGAGCTTCTTAATTTAGTTACCTGAAAATATTTATTACAAGAAAATATCGTATTTTAAGTATCATAATTACGTATTACATAAGTAAAAATATTGTAACGTGATGTATGGTAAGTATATGGAAAACCATTTGGAGGGAACGCATTCAATGTTAAAAAAGAACTTTTCTCGTTATCTTAAAATAATTTGTAAAAATAAAAATATCCTTGCTATTAAAGGTAAACAAAAATGTTTAAATCTAAACCTTATTACGAGATTTTCGGTCATACCCCGAAAAGATTTACGACTCTGAGTATCGTCATAACATATCAAGCAATAAGTTCAAAGAGCCTCTCTATACTTTCATTAAATCAAATAAACTTTCGGTTATCAACATAATTAGTAGTGCTGGTCCAACATACACCTATCAGCATAAAACTCTCTCTAACTCTTCTTATATTGATTACACCACAGCACTAAACCTTTTAGTGCTGCGATGTGATTAATATAAGAAGAGTTGGAGAGTAATAGCAATGTCTTTTTTAGTCTAAACGAGTCATCACTATTCTTTATAAAGACCAAGGTTGTTTTTGCCATAAAACTTAAACGATTACTAACCAATAGCTACGAGAATCTCCATTACACATACTAAATTATCAAACATATTAAATAGCATAACACAAAAATACAATTATATTTCAAAATATACATGGAATAAAAAATTTTTATTAAAATAAATAATCAAATTCTATCCTTAGCTTTCAATAACTACACCTTCATAAAGGAAAAATCGATCAAAATTTAATGCAAACATGCGAACAAATTAAAAATGCTGCTTAAATCGCTTTTAAGCAATACTTTAAAAAACACGTATTCTGTAAGTATACCATATCGTGGCGTACAGCCGAACTTATAATAAAAACTAATAATGAAAAAAATCTTTTATTGAATTATAAACAATTGCCAGCGGCGGATCGAGGATTCGGTGGTGGGGGGTAATGCTTGGAGGTTTACTGAGGGTTTAGAATGGGGTATCCCCTTCCCAAATATTTATGTGAGAGAGGCATATAAATTATTATAAAATAGGTTTATTAATATCAATTGATTACAAATTAGTGGAGTGACGACTGCAGAATTTGTATGTAATGAACCACTAGGCAAACTCACTTGACTGACGTCGTCAACTGTTGTAGTTGTAGGAACAAAAAGAACACGGTGAATACCCTTCTAACATTTTGTAGCATCACCGCTACTGTAAGTCAGGATTAGACGAATTCGTGAATTAGTCACTTTTTATTTTTTGTTCACTTTTTATTTTTGAATTAGCCATTTTTTATCACAATAATTATTAATGTAATTGAGTACACGAATTGCGCGAAGTGTAAAGTTAATTGTCTAATGTCCACACAAAACCCATTTTGTGTGGACATTGGACAACATTAGTTTTAGTTACTTTACATAAACAAATAAAATACAATTGAAAAAAAACTTTTACATTTTATAAAAAAGCCGTTACCTTTTTCGTTGAAAATAGTCTGTCATCTTACGCCTTATTAGTATATTAAGTATATTTAGTAATATTCCATAGTATATTAAGAAAACAAGGCGATTCAACACACAAATACCGGAACTTAGTTCACGTGCAAAACGGCAGCTAATATGATAAAGTTTTAAAACGTTTTGATTAAAACCACCACAAGGCACTCGTTCTTTTTCGTTTTTTCTCTCTCACTCACTCACTCGTTCTCTCACTCGTTCTCTCACTCACTCACTCACACGTCTCACTCACTCACTCACTCACTCACTCGTTTTTTCACTCGTTCGAGTGAAAAAAAAAATTTGTAAGTCTGGTGGGGGGTAATGCATTACCCAAATAACTTCACCCCCTCCCTGTATCCGCGCCTGACAAAGGCTTAAATCAAAAGATAATAAGATAAAAGAAAGCATGAGGTACAAAAGATACATCGTAGAATTTAATAATATTTCAAGTAGTCCAAAACAAAAAGGTGAAAAAACATGAAAAAACAACAAAAATTTAAAATCTGAGAAATACAAATTACCCAGACAGCCTCCCGCTAGCGGCCCAATGCTGGCCCATTTTCGCTTGCGACTCCGGCGCAATGACGGCTGTCGATCACGGGTCTGGATTGAAACGGCTATTGGGCCAGCACTGGCCCGTTGTCATGGGCCAGCATTGGCCCGCAATTGTTCTCTAGCCCTGGCCTGCGATCGTTTGCCAGCACTGGCCCGGAATCATATGCCAGCACTGGCACGCGATCGCTTACCAGCACTGGCCATCTAATACCAGTACTGATTCATGATCATTTTGCAACATTTGTTCATGGTCGCGTGTCATTACTAAAGCGTTACTTTTTACTTATACATTAGGACGTTATTATTAGCTGTTTCTGTACAAATGTATTATCCCGCATGAATCAAATAAATAAATACTTTTCGAAATTTATTCCAACTTATATCGAAAAAATTAAATAAGTATTTTCGAAATTTATTCCCAACCAAAAATGAGCTAAAAATAATGAAATAAAAAATAAAAAAATGTTATTAAAAGTTGTAAATAACTTTTTAAACAAAGAACGTGCATCTCGAGCTTTTCGCCCGCCATTTCGATCCTCAAAAAGCAAAACATCTCTTCAGTTAATGCTTAAACTCTTCTCCTGATGCTCCTGAGGTTAAAGCTTTTATTTTCACAGCATCTAAATAACAAAAAGTTAAACTGTGTAAAAAATAGTAAACAATTAAACTAAAATGTATGATTAAAAAAAAAAAATTGAAAGTCTGGTGTGGGGTAATGCATTACCCACATACCTTCCCCCCCCCCCCCTCCTGTATCCGCGCCTGACAATGGCTTAAATCAAAAGATAATAAGATAATATCATAAAAATAATAATATCATAATATCATAAAAAACTTTTTTTTAAATATTCTTCACCTCAACCCTATTGTATTTAACAAAACAACACTAGATATAAAATTTAAAACAATATTTAAACTTAAGACAAGTTCATATTATTATCGAAAAAAAAATTTTATAAAAATAACTCCGAGAGTAAATTGCGAGATTACTATTAACCAATGCAATGAAGTGTTTTTTTTGCTCAAGAAACCATCTCACAGATAAACATTCATTGGATGTCACTTAAGACCCGAAAAACTAAAATAAAAAAAAATTAACAATAATGAAACAGTTAAGTTCAGTTTACTAATGCTTACTATGTGCTTCAATTTTAGCATTAGGTGCAACTGATGATACAATACTAAT